GTGCAGGAGCATCTTGGCCTCTTCTGGATGTGTCAGAAACTCAGGGTTTGGATCAGGAAAAACAGGGCTGGGCTGGATGAGGAGTGTGAGGCATAAAGACTGCTGTGTGTCCACTCGGTGTAGTTATGGTAGTTCCATTGTGGAGGTTTTCCTCCTTGATTCAAATGGAAAAAACAGAATGTGGAGATGTGGAATGGTGGCTGGTGTTGCTCCTGTGCACAGAGGCCCCTTGTACATGAGCGTTGGGTTCACAAGGTGTGTGTCCATGGAGCATCTTTTGGGTCTGCCGGGTCCATGTGCACATCATGCAGTTGGAGAAATACAAGATGAGGTGTAAAGTTTTCCAGAAAAACATCCTGGTTTGGTCACTCAAGCTGTTGGTGGCAGCACCATCCTCCAGAATGTTCTGGAACCACTGCTTGGCTCTGCAGAGGACTCAGCCTGTTCATTACAGTGAGAGCAGCCATGGACTGTGCTGGGTCTGAGCAGCTCCTGCTGCCCCGTGGAACAGAGGAGTTGAAAATCCCAAAGAGGAAAGTGGGAGCTGTGACTGGAGAATGCTGTGTGTTCCTGGGCTAGATCACTTGCATTAAATTCAGAGCCTTTCTGAGCACAATTAATAGTCATTTTATTTAGGTCACCCTGGTTTTGTTGCTTTAAATGTATGCCTCCATTAAAGTGGAAGAAAATCAAATACATTTATCTCCGTGGAGCCTTTTGTGAAGTGGTTGGGCATATTTTAAATAACCCTGAGAACTGTTAGGATTATTAAAGCCTTTGGCTCCTCCAGGTTTTTTTTCTATCCTCCTATTCTCCCCTATTCCTCCTTCCAGGCAGTGAGTAATGAAGTGGTAGAGCCCTTCCTTTTCTCAGAGCCCCAAGTGGATTGGAAAAAAAAAAGAAGTTAAATAAACTGAAGCCCATTAGTTGGGCTTTATATAAGAAACTGGGTCTGCATTGGCTGTATGTATGGGCTGTGCTGGGACAGGGGAGTCTGTGGGGCTGAAGTGTCCATTTGTAACCAGTGTTCGCTGGAAAGGCTTTGTTTTCTTCTTTTTATTTACCACAAGTGCTAAGACTGTTCATTTTGTAACACAGTCTCACTTCATGGCCAGAATTAGTCCAGATTAAGCAGCTCCTTTAAGCCTCCATATCAAGCCGTACTACATCTGAAACAGGTTGAGGTTTTGGGTTGCCAGCTGGCTCCCGAGTGTGCTGGGTGGAGGTGGCTCAGCCTCCCACACCTGCCCTGGGGAATCCAGGGCTTTGCTGGGGGCTGGTTGTGCTGTGCCCCGGGAATGGGCCGGCCGAGGGTCTGGCTGGCAGCACGGGGGGTAAAGGCCAAGCTTTGCAGGCGGCAGTTCTGTCTTCCAGTCTCGCTTCTATCCCTGGAAAAACCTTCCTTTTCTTTTGTAAGCAAGATGTGAGCTGCGTGTTTTGAGCTGAGACCCGGAAAACTTGCAGTTGAGCATCTTTAAAATTCTGGGCGAGCGCGGGAGCGTCGGGTTGGAGGAGGGGGTTAACTTGGGCAGCCACAGCTCCTGAATGCACTTGAGTTTCGGCTGTGGGTTGTTTTTTTTCCCTTCCCCTGAAACAGGGATCAATTTGCTTACTACAGGGTTTACTGCCGGTTACCTTGACTGTGTCCCTTATTTCTCCTTGATGAAAACTTGAACAAGCCGCTTGTGTTTGCTTCACAGAGAACCGTGAGAAACGGGCTGTGTGTGTGAGGCAGTGTGGTTTGCTCATTCTATTCAGCCCTTTGTATATTCAAATTCTTCTAGTTTGAGTTCTTGCTGTTCTGCCAGATTTCCATACCATTGATGGGTTTTCTGCATTAATAAGTTTCTTCCCCCCCCCCCCCCATACCCTCGCCACCTTTTTGCGACTGGTGAAAAGTTTTTCTAAGCACGCCGCCCTCTCCATATTGATTTTTCTTCTCCTGCTTGTCTAACCAGCTCTTAGATGTTTTATTTTGCAAAGCGTTAATAGAATTTTCCTTTTGCCGCTGCACTTTATCTATTCAGGAGGTTTCAAGAAGTCTCATTGTGTCACCGGACTATGGAGGAAAGAGGCTATTCTTCTGCTACAATGGCTGCCCTAAAAAATAACGCAGGGTGGGGTAAGCTCAGAAAGGGCAGAGACGGAGATAAAATGTTCTGACCTTAGGAAAGAGAAAAGATAACCAATTAGACATTGTTGAAAGGGCACCAGCTGGCTCAAAGAACACCCCACTGATTATTTTTTCTTCAAGGCACACACGGGCCACGTCTGAACTCGGCTGCAGAGCAGCTTCCCCCGTGCAGGTTTGATCTGTGGACTGGCAGGGCTGACCCTTTTGCAGGGGGCTGCTGCCCAGGCCTGATCCCAGGAGTAGGGGTCAGTGCCGGAGGGGCGAAGCGCCTGCTCCGGGATTCCTGTGCTCCTCAGGGTCCCAGCCAGCACGATGGAAACCTGCAGGGTTAGCCCATGCAGGGTTAGCCCATGCAGGGTTAGCCCATGCAGCCTGTGCTTGTTACTGCTAATAGGGATTTATTTGCATAGAAAAGATCTCTGCCAAGGTCATCATTCCAGCGAAGGTGGCCTTGGTACACATGGCACAAAGTGGTGTCTGCCCAGAGGACGTGTGTCCATGGGGGAGCGTTCTACAGGTGGGAGAAGGGAATGGAACTGCAGATCCCACTGCGGCCAGGAGCTGCACCCAGAGCTCCCCACCCTTCAGTGCTCAGTCCTGGTGCCAGAACCAGTCCCTCCTCTGCCCTGGCAGCCCTTGGAGGAGCAGGATGTGGCTGCACAAGAGGTTCAAGTCGTGCTGCTGTAGCTGAGCCCAAGGGGTTGGAAGACCTTGAGCCGAGACACAGCCATGCTACAGTGAGGGCAGAGTCACAGCCTCATCTGAGAAGGCTTCTCCCCCTAACACCAACACAGCAACCTTTTTGGAAGTCCCCAGTAATGTCCTCTCAGGAGGAGGTGTTGTTTTGGCAGGACAGCCCTTTCAGTGTGGGTCCAGCCTGGAGAGCCTACACACAGCATCAGCCTCTTGGTCAGGGGACATGGGACCTCCCTTGGCTGCTGGGTCTCTGCTCCTGGGCAGAGAGCTCTCTGGGCTCTCTGAGCTCCTCAAATCCCATCCAGGAGCTCTCTGGGCTCTGGGATGGGATTTGAGGCAGAAAAGTTACACGGGAAGAGTCCCAGGTTAAACCTTTTGCAGCAGTGATGGAGTGGGGACAGGGGGTGGGTGGCACACGCCGGGTCCAGGCGCGGGAGCTGCGATGCCCCAGGAAACAGCAGGAGGTGCAACATGTAATTTTTGGTTCCAGTGAGGCCAAGACCCGTGAGAATGAAAAATAAAGATTGCTGAGCAAATGTAGCCGTGGAGCAGAGATAAGCAGCGGTGGCAGGGTGAAGGGCAGCACAGTCCTTATCTCCCTCCTGGGATTGCTCATCCTGGTGAGTTTTCCTCCTCAGAGGGAAGACAGACAGAGGGACAAACGGCTCCGTGCTTAATGCGCTTTGGATTTTTCTGTGCATCAGCGTCTTTAGGTCTCAGTCATGATGGGGATCTGGAGATCTGCTGTTCTGCACCCCCTCAGTCCATCACTAACACTCTTTGAAAGTCATTCTGACTGAAAAGTTAAGAACAAGTTAACCAGAGACAGGTTTTCAGATGAATTTTAGGCATCATGTAAGGTTTTGCTGCGCTGTATCATTTCACTATTTCCTGGAAAATATTTCTGTCCTGTAGTTAAGAGAAGTTCAGATTTTGTTTTTACCGCCTTCCCAAACTCTCTCTGCCCAGCCAAGGCTGAGATGGTAATTTTGCACAGTCATAGGCTGAATGTTTGTCCCCTGCCTAAGAGGACGGTTGGGGGGACAGGTGGACCCTTTGGTGGCACTGTGTGAAGTGAGCAGTGTGTAACTGCATTGTAATTCACTTAGCTAAAACAAATGATTTATAGAAAGCCAGAATATAAACACAAGTAAGTACCTAAAAATTACTGGTGGGGAAAAAAAAATCAAAAAACCCCAGACAAGCAAACAAAAAATCCCAAGCCTGTCCCCCAGGCAAGGAGTGGAGACTTGTAAAGGATAAAACCTTTTCCTTAAAGATCTTCTCCCTTCCTGCAACACCTTCTGCAGTTGAGTGGTTACAGGTTTTCATCAGCCTTGAGTTTACAACAGGGAGTTGCAAGTCTGTAATTTCTTCTCGGAGCTTGCCCAGGATGTGTCTGGTGGTGCGTGGGACCCACCTGCCCCCGCTCCTGCGGCCTCAGAGCAACAGCCCAAAGTGTGATAATGCTGGGAAATCAACCCCAGCACAACATCCTCCTGCAGTAAGTGTAAAATTTTAGGTGTGGCTGCACAGATTAAATGGAGGTGGAATAAATCATGCAAATCCTAATGAAAGTTGAAAGCAATTTGGTTGCACTTCAATACATTTCATCAGTCATCTCTCTTCTGAAGTGGAAGTGCCGAGCCTGATGCGAATTAAACTTTCTCTCTCCTCCCTCTCCCCTCTTTCCTCCAGCTTTTCAAAAGTCCTTTTGAAAACCTCTGAATACCTTCCTTGGCTGACCAGATTTTACCCTGCTTGTACCTCTTTCTAACCTCCTAACTCTCAGCCAAGACAGTGACTCTGTTTTGGAGAAGTCATGGGCTTGATTTGTATCCACAGTTCCTCTCTTGGCCCTTCCTTATCTCCCTATGAAAGGGAAATGAGGCACAGCCAGGGATTGGTGTGAGATGGAAGAACTGCTCAGATATTTGGCTTTTTAGGGTGGACACTTTTAGTGTTCGCTTTTCTGCTTTAGGATCAGGTGTCAGCCGGGATGGGGGGTGAAAGCACCAGGTTTCCAAAACGAGGAACTGACTGACTGAAATCAGGGAGATCTGCTCCATGGAGGCTGCTCCTGCCCATGTCCCCCGTCCTGGTGTGTGTGTCGTGTGTTCCAGCCCTCAGTGGTGTGTTAAAGCACAAATCTCCCCTCTTTGTCTTGCAGGTAGAGGACGCCATGCTAATGTTTGACAAGACGACCAACAGGCATAGAGGTAAGAGAGAACAGCCAAAAATCAGTGTCAACGTGGTGATTTGGTGGCTAAATCCATGGTGCTAAATTCCTCTGTCCTGGAGGTTGCAGAGGAAGGATTTTTTTGTTGGAAATGGCTTTTCTGGTCAGTCCAATGACTTCTCTTTGGGAGGACCATTGTCAGGCTCCCTGGAGAGAGTAAAGCCTGTGGAGCTGGTTGTGCTGAGGCTGCTGGGAAGCAGTGGGTTTGTTCTGAGGTGGCTGGCATTAGTTAAGCTGGGCATAAGGCCAGTTAAGCTGAAACACCAGGAAATTAAGGTGATAACCCCTCTGCTGGGATTTCAGGCGTGCTGGAGTCCTGGAGCTGAGTGAGGACTGCTCGTCCTCCGGTGGTGTAGCTCAGAACAAGCAGGATCTCCAGGAATTTCCCTCCACATATTTCACGAGAGAGATGAGGTTTCATCATCGCTTGTACAGTTCTGTGAAAACGAGCTGAGGGTTATTTTCACTGTTATGGCCATTCCTTTCAGTGGAAATAAATGACTCTGCTCCGTCTCTCGGGGAGCCGTTCACATTCCCGCCGCAGCAGCCGCGGAGCTCCTGGCAGCCAGCACTGGCAGCACTGCATCCCCCTGGGAGCAGGGAATGTGCCTGGGCTCTCACAGCGGCACCAGGAGCTGCTCTGGGGACAGGCTCCAGGACCCTGTTCCCCCCTCTCTGACCAAGGTTGATTTTCAGCGTGGTGTGTTTGGCTCCTGCCCCTGTGCGACGGCGCTGACGGCAGTGCCAGCTCTGCCCGTGGCCTCTCACACTCTGGCCTCTTTGGGGGGCTCTGGATTGATCTGGTGACTCTCTGAGGCACGGATATGTTGGCTGCTTTGAGTGGTTTGGGGAGGCTGCCAGAGGGTGGGAAGGAGCCTGTGCCTGTCCAGGATGGGAGCCCTGGGAAGGGGAGACGGGGGCAGCCCAGGGAGCTGCCTCACCTTTGTGAGGGTCTCACAGGGTCATGAGACCTGACTGACCTCCCGGCGCTGTCTGAGCCATTCACGGCTCTGAGATTTGCTGTAACAAGAAACTCGGTTTGTGTGGATGGCTGAGTGAGCCAGGCAAGCCTCCGGGATAGCATTCCCTCCCTCCCAGGCACTGAAGTCAGGGACTGTAATACCTGACTTCAGGTATTACAGTCCCTTCTCTGAAGTCAGGGACTGTAATACCCTGGAAAATGCAGCCACAGCGAGCAAAAGACTTGCTTAGGAAGATAAGCTCATTCGAGCCAGGGAAGGTGTGTGAACAGGCAGTGCCCATCTGTGTAAAAGGGCACAGATATATAGTTTGGAAAGTTCAACCCACGGCAACTTCCTTTTATATCCAGGGAATTTTCCACCCATCTGTGCAAAACCACCCTTAACCAGACCATAAATACCCTTCTCCATTCAGGATCTTGGCACCTTGTTTATTGTATTTAAAAGCTGCCTGATATGGAGTTTTGGGGGGGGGCTCTAGTCCCAGCCAGGGACACACTCAGCAGGTTTGGCCTGAGACAGACAGGCACAGTCTCCATTTGCTGAAATGTCCCAAATCCTGGAGTTTGGTTCCCACTTGGCTGTGCCTGCCCAAGCCCTGTTCCAGCCCACTGGTGTTCTCCTAACACCTTGTGCCTGCCCTGACCAGGCTCCAGTGCTGGGGTGAGCAGGAGACTGTGCAGGGACATCAAAGCAGAGCAGTGGTGTGAGTCCTTCCTGTGCTTCCTGCAGGCAGGATGTTTGTCTCTCCCCACCTTCCCCAAGGTGACCCCTGCTCTGTCCCCCGCCGGTGGCTCTGTGCTGCCGTAAGCACTTCCCGAGGCGGGAGGGCACCGGGAATGTTGGTGTCTGTGCTCTGCTGGTGCTGAGCTCTGCTCTGACAGCCCTGGTTCAGCGTTTCTGTGCTCGGAGGGGAGGTTGGAGCAGTGTGCCAGGGACCCTGTGATCAGGTGTGAACCTGGGTAATGAGCCCCAGAGGACGAATTCCTCTTCCAGAAGCACCTTTTCACTGACTTACCTGGAGAAAAGGTCTGTAACTGCTGAAGTTGAGGGCTGCAGGTGTGGGGGGCACCTTACTTGCTGTGAAACCTTTTGGTTTTTCCACAAAGGTCTTTTTCCCCCCACTGTGTGTTGAAAATGAGAGGCAACATCATCTTTTTTTTTTCCCCTCAGAAATTCTGTGGATTTATTTTGTTGGCTAATTTTTTTTTATAGTCTGTTTTTCCTACATGAAAGCCATGACATTTTGATCCACACTGGCATCCTGGTATAAGCTCCTGCATGAGAACTAAGGGGGGAGGAACTAAGAGCCCCAAAAGATCACAAGCAGGCTCCAGAATGCCCTTGGGTGGAGGTGATGTTACCCACACCCCCCATGCTCCACCGGAGTTAGACTCCATACCTGGGTCTGTCCCACTTGCTTGAGCCTCCTCCCCACTCCTGGCAAAGAAGGGAATTCTCTGGCCCCCAGGAATCTCAGCTCTGTTTGGGAGGCTGTATCCCAGGGAACAGGCTTACCCATTGCTGGTTGAAGGACAATGCTGCTTACTTGCTGGGATTAGCCAGAATTCCTGTGAGTGGGTGAAGCCTGGACAGTGCTGAGGGGCAGAAAGGTCTGAGCTCGGAGTCTTTACCTCTGCCAAGTGCAGGTGGAAAGAGGAATTGAGTGTAAAAGGCAGAGTAAGAGTCCTCTTGATCTTCACACTTGAATTTATCCAGTCTTTTCTGGCATTTTTTCCTGCTCTGCACAGGTAGCTACAGCTAATCAGGCTAATGAACTGGCTCAGGGCTGTGGTGATGAAGCGAGTTCTGCCGCCTCAATCTTTGATAAAATCACCCCAGATTTTACAAATTGTGGCATTCTGATTGTGTTGGAAGCACATTTAAAATGCTGTACTGTGCAGCAACAGTGTTAATGGCAATTCTTAAAACCACTTGTGGGTTGCAATCTGTATCTTCAAATTAGCCACGGGAAAGAGAAATGGCAGATAAAATATCCGCTGTGGTTTGCTGTCGTTAGTCTATGCCTGGAATAATCATCCTGGGCATGGGAGGGGGAAAGGATTAAAATTCACTGCTAGAAGGCGAGAGAGATTTCCTTGCAAGCAAATTGAGAGGGTTTGTTGACATAATTCTGGCACGTGTGTGTTGCTCCTGGTGTGTATTTGGGGAGTGTGTAACTTGCCTGCACACGCAGGACCGGCACTGGTTGGTGGAAATGCAGGGATTGAACCAGGCAGAGAGAGGGGTTTTCGTAACTGCTCACCCTTGCTTGAAAACCCTACCCAAAATAAAATTTCATGCCTTGGATGGAGCACTTTGCCTCTATGATGGACTTGATGATCTTTTCCAACCTTGACAATTCTATGATTCTATAACCTTAAAAATGCCTTCAGGCTGGCCGGGCTGTGCCTCTGCTGACATCTTTTTTAGTGTCTGTTCCTGGATGTTCTCAAAGAAAAAAAAAAGCTGTTGCGTTTCATGCCGATCTGTTCAGCCATATTAAAGGCAGGGTGCAAAATCTGGGAGTATTTAACTGAAGAGGTGGTTAATTTTTGGAGTATTGTAGGTAAAGCAGTGCCTAGGATCACTGGGATATCTCCTTCCAAGGGTTCTCCTGGCTTGGCCACTGAGCTGTGATAGTAGGAATGCAAAGAACCTGCACTTGGAAGACTAAGTATCCCTGAGTCAGTTTAGTAAAGATGCCATTTCTTCTTGGAAAGAAAGTGCTGATGATCCTCTGTTTCTGTACCCTGTACTGTACTTCTGCACTTCTCTGAAAACCACACACAAAAGTTCTCCCAGCATTCTGGCAGATCCCTTTCATCACTTTCTTCACTGCCTAAAATTTCATAGAGCTGAAAATTACTGGTCAATCTTGAAAGGATTCAGTAATTGGAAAGGAGAAAAAAAAAAAAGAGGGTGGTGTTATTTTGTTACCCTTGCAAAGTGCAGATAAAATCTGGAGTTCAGCATTAGTTATTGATCTTCGGGGGTGGAGGGAGCCTGGCAGGATGATGATGTCCTTCTAACTTGATTATGGAGGGGAGCTCCAGGGAGCATATCAATGTGCTGTGGAGCCGGGGCGGGTGCTGTGCCCTTGGGCCTGGCAGAGCCTGGGTGGTTGTGTCCAGCAAAGCAGGACACAGTGGGCTGCTTGAGGAGGAAGAGGGAGGAAAGGAGGGTTAGATCAAAGTCTGTGAACTTGAGGGGCGAAGGACTGGGCTCAGCCCTTCCAGGCTGTTTGTTTTGTGGAAAGGAAACTGGAGTGGAGTATCCCCTGATAAATCAGCTCAGCAGCTCTCCTTCCTCCCCTCTCTGCCACTGTTAAGCATAGAATGGTTTGAGTTGGAAGAGACTTCAAAGGTAATCATGTTCCAAGCCCCTGTCATGGGCAGGGGCACCTTCCATAGACCAGATTGCTCAGAGCTCCATCCAGCCTGACTTTTGAACACATTAAGGGATGGGGCAGCCACAGCTTCTCTGGGCAACCTGTGCCAGGGCCTCACCCACAGGGGAAAATTTCCTCCCAGTATCCCATCTAACACTGCCCTCTGGCAGCAGGAAGCCATTCCCCCTTGTCCAAAGTCCCTCTCCAACTCTCTTGGAGCCCCTTTAGGCACATCTCAGTGGGGTGCTCTCGGTCCCAGCCCTGGCTGCTCCCCACCAGTGTCTGTTGGTGTGTGCCTGCAGCCATCAGCCACCCCAGAAGCTGTCCAGGACCTGCATCACCGCAACCCCATGTCTTAGACTTGCAAAAAGCCCAAGATTTTGAGTGATTGAATCCCCCAAGCTGTAATTGCAGGTATTGAGTGTAATACTATGTGTTTTTTAAAGCTGTCCAGCCCCCAGAGTTATTTTCATATCAATTAACCCTCTTGCACGGCTCGGGATGGCAGCAGAGAGAGGAGGGAAGTGACAGCGTGTGATTTGGACTTCTTTAATCTTAAAACTAAACAGAATTAAGGAACAGCAGGCTGTGTGCAGGATACAGGCACCA